TTGTGGACCGCAAGGCGACGTCAAGATCGTAAAATTTGGCAGGTGGAATAAATCTGAACCATTCGCCTAAGCACTCTGTGTGATCTTGCGTCCAATGCGATAGAAGATGCAAAGTGATGCAACAATCTTTTCGCAGTGCCAGTGAATCGAACCGATCAAAAAGAATAAGTTTGTATGATTTGGGCTGCCCTTCATTTGATGCGGTTTATAAAAGAGGTGGTACTGAGGTGACCCAGCTCAGAGATGAGAACAGCATTTCAAGTAAGGCCGTTAAATTCGCAAACGGTGGGCCGCCGGCAAGAAACACTATCTCGCGCTACTGAGCACGCCAAGCTTTTAAGGAGCCAACGTGACTGGGGTACTTATATAATACTAGCGATCCGCCTCGGCTCCGCACAGGTGATCTTGATCTCGACAACAGCGCCACTTACCGGGTGCAATTGTGAATTTAAACTATACAGGGACCCACTTAAACTGTCAGTACAAGTCTCTTATAAATAAATATACGACGACGCCTGCACCGTTGCACGTGTGGCAGCGCCTGTGTGGCTAGCCAGAATTCTTGTAAAAAATAACGTACACCGTACACCTGCGCTGTTGCACTTGTGTGTGGCTCATGTGTAGCTGGCGCATGTGTAGCTCCTTCTTTTGCTTATATAAAACAGACGGAGCGATCGCAGTAAGAGGAGTCTTGGCTCTGCCGTGGCACGGTGCACTTGTATTCCGCTACTATTATATATATAAGATAATTAATTCGTGCAAACGAATTAATTATTATTCACAAACTATAAAATTAGCCTCAGTACAATTTATATAATTATAAATAAATATATGTATAATTATAAATAAATCAGAAGGCCATGAGACCAAACTTTTTTTTTAATATAGGTACTTGTAATAGCAAATAAGCTAACAGTTTACATAATGGTAAGTGGCTACTCCAGCCCTTGGACCACGGATGAAGAAGCCCGTAGATGGAGATGCGTTGTCATTTCTGGGGGCTAACATGTGATTATTTAGAGCCTGTATATTGCTTGTATAAACTATACATATACTGGCTATTTTGGCTACCGTTCGGAACTGAACACATGTGTGCATGCATTTGGCAGCTGGTATTCTGTGAGAGCGTGGTCCTTCCCCAGCTGAACCGACCCATTCTTGTACGACCATAAATCAGCTGCAGCATTGATCTACTAAAATATTTATACTTTTTATTTTGTATGTTATATATTAAGTTCAAATCGTCTGTTTTATAAGTGTAATGATGCTCATACAACATTAGGTATAACTATGTCTAAATATTACAAAATAAATAAAGATTTTTAAAATCTCAATAATACTTCCATTGAGTTCTCAAATATTTATCATTTATCATATCAATAATTCTGATTTGTTTAAATGACCCTTCATTAAAAGTATTGAAACAAAATGCTCTATTAGGAACTGGATAAGCATCATCAGCCCATCAGACGTCTCAATTGTTAAAAATAAAATAACACCGACTATTTTTCTTACTCTTTTAAAGAAGTTGGTTGTTAAAATAACTTAAAATGAAACGATATAAATTTAAAATGAAACATTGTAAAAATTTTAATTAAAACGATTGAAACTTTATATACTATTTTTTTCTTAATATAATGAAATTTTATGAAGCAATTTAATTTATTGAACTGCAATTTATCAAAATTAGTATCAAATTTGAATATAAAAATCAATCTTATATTCTTCGGGTGATAAGTTTCGTCAAAACCTTATTATTTAAAATTTTTGAATACTGGGTAGATGAACTTCACCAATTTTAAAAATATAACGTTTGCGCTTGCCGAAAATAAAAAGACATTCATCATCATCATTACAGCCCTTCACAAGTCCACTGCTGAACATAGGCCTCCCCCAAAGAATGCCACAAAGCACGGTCCTGAGCCACCTGCATCCATCGACTTCCTGCATGTCTTACCAGGTCGTCACTCCATCTCGTGGGGGGACGCCCTACACTTCGCCTACCGGTACGAGGCTGCCACTCCAGAACCTTTCTTCCCCATCGGTTGTCGGTTCTTCGAGCTATATGGCCGGCCCACTGCCACTTCAGCTTACTAATTCGTTGGGCTATGTCGGTTATTCTGGTTCTACTGCGGATATCCTCATTCCTAAGTTTATCACGCAGAGAAACTCCGAGCATAGCCCTCTCCATAGCTCGCTGAGCGACCTTGAGCTTCCTCATACGGCCAGCAGTGAAGGACCACGTCTCAGTTCCGTAAGTCATCACTGGCAACACGCACTGGTTGTACAATTTCGTTTTAAGGTTTTGAGGTATGTCTGACGAGAAGATGTGTCGTAGCTTCCCGAACGCTGCCCAGCCGAGTTGAATCCGTCGATCGACCTCTCGGTCGAAGTTGGACTTACCTAGTCGGACTATTTGTCCCAGGTAAACATACTCGTCAACAACTTCGAGCTTAGTGCTCCCAACAACTACCGGCATAGGTGTGACATGGACATTAAACATAATCTTTGTTTTGTCCATGTTCATCTTAAGACCTATCCGTTGGGAAACACTATTGAGGTCATTGAGCATAGTGCTTAGGCCCTCCAGCGATTCTGCCATAAGGACTATATCGTCGGCAAATCGAAGGTGAGTGATGTACTCGCCATTGATGTTGATACCGTATCCTTTCCAGTCTAGAAGCTTGAAAACGTCTTCCAATGCAGCGGTGAAGAGTTTCGGGGATATGACGTCACCCTGTCTTACACCTCTCTGCAATTGGATAGGTTTCGTACTCTGGTTCTGTACTCGGATAGCCATCGTAGCCCTACTGTACAAGCACTTCAACACTTCGATATACCGACAGTCAACTTGGCACCGCTGAAGGGACTGCAGCACCGCCCAAATTTCGACGGAATCAAAGGCTTTCTCATAGTCCACATACGCCAGACATAGTGGCAAATTGTACTCTTCGGACTTCTGTACAACTTGCCGAAGGGTATGTATGTGGTCTATGGTGCTAAAGCCCTTTCGGAAACCGGCTTGTTCGGGAGGCTGGAAGTCGTCAAGTCTGCGCGCGAGACGATTCGTAATGACTCTCGAAAACAGCACGTAGACGCGGCTCAGAAGGGAAATCGGTCTGTAGTTCTTCAAGAGAGCGTTGTCACCTTTCTTGAAGAACAAGACCACCGCACTTCTGCTCCACGCCTCCGGTGTAATGCCACCATGGAGGACGGAATTAAAGAGCTTCTGAAGGACTTCAAGTACCGGTCTTCCACCCGCTTTCAGGAGCTCCGCTGTAATTCCATCCTCGCCTGGGGCCTTACCGTTTTTAAGGTGCTGGAGAGCCATTCTAATCTCGCTCAGACTGACGTCCGGGATATCTTCGGAATAGTGTCGGATGAGACTCGCTCTTGGATCGTTACTCACACTTGCGTGTGGCTCCAACGATGACGTGTACAGCTGCCCATAGAACCTCTCAATCTCACTCAAAATCTCAGGTGTCCCGGAAACGATGCTGCCACATTCTGTCTTCAGCTTTGACAGTTGGCTCTCTCTGGCAGACAGATCTCTGGCAAAGACTTTGGAGCCTTGGTTCCGCTCGATCGCTTCTTCAATACGAGCTGTATTGAAGTTGCGTAAGTCCCGCCGCATGCATTTTGAGATCTGTCTGTTCAGATGCCTGTATGCTGTCAAGTCTGTTGAAGAATGTAGCTTCATCTCCCGTCTAACAGCCATGAGATTAAGAGTGTGATCGGAGAGTTTTGTGTTCTTCTGCGGCGGGTCTTGCAGAACTTAGCTCCGACCGCATGGACAGTTTCCACGAGCTTGTCATTCATATCGTCCACTTCATTGCAGTCTTCTAGGCACTGAAAACGGTTTGTAACTCGAGCTGAAAGGTTTCGGGACTTTGGATTAGAGCACGAGGGGGACGGAGCGTTGACTTCATTAGACGAGACCTCTCCAACTTAACGTTTAGGTTCAGTGTGCCTCTAACCATTCGGTGATCGCTACCAGTTTTCACCCTTGCGATCACGGAGACATCACTGAACAGTTGTCGTCTGGTCGTCATAATGAAGTCAATCTCATTTTTTGTCGAACCGTCGGGGCTCGACCAGGTCCACTTCCTGTGGGGCCGCTTCTGGAAGAAAGAGTTCATCATAAAGAGTCCCTCTTTCTCCATGAAGTCGGCCAGCTGCTGGCCCCTTGGGTTCCGTTGCCCTATTCCAAATTTCCCTACTTTCAGCTCACCGTTCTCTCTTGTGCCTAGTTTTGCATTGAAGTCTCCCATTAACACCGTATATTGGGTTTTGGAGGAATGCATGGCTCTAGAGATATCCTCATACATTTCCTCCACCTCCTGATCGGGGTGTGCCGAGGTTGGTGCGTAAACCTGTATGACCTTCAGCGAATACCGTTTGGTGATTCTGAGTATAAGGTACGCAACCCTCGTCGACACACTCCCGATCTTTACAACGTTGTTAACGAGAGACTTGTGGACGATAAATCCGACACCTCCTTGGGACAGATGGTCGCCCTCCCGGTGATAGAGCAAGTTGCCGGATTCGAGGATTACCGTGTCCTCCCCCTCTCTTCGGACTTCGGATAATCCTACAATATGCCAGCGCAACTTGTCCATCTCTTCTTCCAGCTCCACGATCTTCTCGTCAGTCCTCAGGGTGCGTGCGTTGTACGTTGCCAGGTCGAGTCGTCTAAGGTGGCAACCGAACCTCCACCGGAGATTCTTAGCACCCCCTGCCCCGCCGTTACCATGGTCGCCACCGTAGCCAGGAATAGCGGGGCCGCCGGGGACTGGGGGCCGTCTGTTTGTTGCTTTAGTCATTGGGGGGTATTTGTCATAGTTGCCACGCTTGGCGAGCGGGTTGGCAACCGCAGTTTTTTTATTATAATTTTGGCTATTATCAGGAAGATGCTGCTGCCCATCTTCTGCCTGTTTCCCTTTGTCGCCTTTTACGACACCCACGGGAGTATATGGGGTAGTGGATATTCTTGACCGCCACTACACGGCTAATGGTCTGCCTAATGGTATTAATTCCATTTGCTGCAAACGCCGCCTGAATCTCTGATAAAACTCTAAGACATTTGGATCAGCCCAAACATGTCGTGAATCAAAGTCTAAAACTCTTAATGTATCAAGGCTTTGTGCTCTGCTTAAAGCTACATAAGCTTGACCAGCTTCAAATATTTTAGATAAAGACATTTCTACGCAATCTAAAGTTAAACCTTGTGATTTGTGTATGGAAAATGCCCAAGCAAGGTTCAGTGGGACCTGTCTACGGCATAGCAATGATCCACTCGAATTTTTGACATACCAGCGCTCTGCTCTTGCAGTATATTCTTTTTTATTTTTAAATCTCACAACAGGAAATCCATCATCAAACCTGACGATAACACCTCTTGCCCCATTCACTAACCCTGCATTGACATTGATATTTTTAAGTAGCATTACTTGGGCACCTACTTTAAGTATTAATTTGGACGGAGCAACAGTCTGATTATCTAATATATTAGTTGCATTATCACTATCTTGTGACATAAACACTTTCTCCTCTCCTTCTAAATCTCTTAACTTTGAATTGTTTATCATTTTTGAGTCATTTGTGTGTGAACATAACCTAGTAGCTAATATGCCATCACTTTCAATCTTTTGTCTAGCAGTTCCTAACAAGCGATCACTAATCTCTTTTGTCACACGGCCTATTCTGATACTATTTAATATAGATATAAACTCTTGGTCAGTCTGCCTATGTACTTCCTTCAGTTCAAAGCAAAGTTCAATACATTTACCCCAACATGGTGATTGAAAGCAAAACTTCTTTCCATTTTTACTCTTTTCCACAACTGGCGGCAATTGTAAAAAGTCCCCACATAGTATAAGCTGTATTCCTCCAAATGGTTTGTCATTCTTTCTAACATATCTTGCCACTGCTTCTAGTTTCTCAAAATATGCTCCATCAACCATTGAAATCTCATCAATAATGAGATGTTTACATTTTTTCCATTTTTGAGTTATTAGGGGCATTTTCAATGCTCTTTCACAAAGATTTTCAACTGATCCACTACCATCTCCTATGCCAGCAAAGGCATGAAGTGTAGTTCCACCAATATGACAGGCTGCCACGCCTGTAGAAGCAGTAGGCACCGTAACATCTGGAGGCAATGCAGTCACTATTCGTTTTAATAAATAGCTTTTACCAGTCCCAGCAGATCCAGTGAAAAAAATATTTTTCCCTCCAAGGCAAGCTTCTAATACTCGTTGTTGTTCACAATTTAAAGAATTATGGGTAGTCAAGGGTGAAGGTGAATATAGCTTCTTAGGTGCCGGTCCTCGAGATTCACTGTCAGCTTTACGCTTTCTAGGAGGTGAAGGAGTTGTTACAGTAGACTTACTAATTTTACTTTTAGCATTAGACATATCAGCAATTGTAAAAAAAAAAAGACATTAATTTTCATAAATTTTCAAATATGGAGTAATCGAAAAAAGAAGATAGAATAGCGGTTGTTACGGCCTACGGCTGCTCCCAAAAAGTTCAAATCCTCTGGGGCCCATTCAGCAGAGTTTCAACGAACAGACGTAGGTCGGGCCTCCTAAGGCCAAAGTGGAAAATCTCTAATTAAACTAAACAATAAGGATGAGCGTTCTATACCACAGCCATTCAACAGGGAGAATATTAGATGGAGCTTACTTACCTAAATCCAAGGCGCCTGGGCCCTCAGGATTCGGTCAGGTCGCATGTGGTTGTGTGGTGCAAGGGAAATAAGGTGCTGTGATGTGTATCTGGGTGTGACTGATGGTGATTGACCTTAGTAGACCTTTGCCGTCGGCAGCAGCCCGGGCGTCAGCACCGCTCCAAATTGAGATAATCTTCCGCGGCGCCGTCCACAGTCACTTTCTTCGTTCGTCACGATGACAGTCCATTAACTCTATCGTACTATTAACTAACTTACAGAAGCCACTAACTCTCGTTTGTTATAAGCTTAACACACAAAACGAACAGGGAGTGTCCGGATCAAAGGTCACTACCGCTTCGCGTAGCAACAGTTATTTCTAGAATATCAAAGGCCGCTTTTGCTAATATTGTCGAATGCACTTATACAGATTCTGAGTCAGACACAATGAGTCCCTGGAAAGCTCTCCAGCAAGGAATGCGCGTCACAAATCCTAAACAATATATTTACTAGCCGCGCTTAATTATTCCGAGTTCCCGAACAAAAATTTGACAGCGTGCTGGCGTTAGCACAGCTTGCAGACGACTTGTGTGCTTGCGCGTTCTACGCACAACCAAACGTCAAACCGGTATGGCACCGAGCCGCGCGCCCTCTGACGTCGATTCCGAAAACAACGTTTGGCGCGAACAGCGGTTATCGCTTTACACCGCTGTAGTTACTCGCCAAAAGAGATTTTCAATATTCTACAAAAATTGAAAATGACCCTACGATTTGTTTATCGCACTATCAAACGATCCACTGAAGAACCAAGCTTCGAAGGTCGTAAGAGGACCGGCTGACCTCGTATAGTTAGGTATATCCGCGATCATCAAAGCAGTGAAGGCGCGAATCCAAAGAAATCATGTTCGTAAACAAAAAATCTTAGCTCTTCAGATGGGCCTAAGCAGAACCAATGTCAACAGAAAGATCAATGAAGACCTAGGACTACAAGCTTATTGTAAGAAGATCGGACATTTTTTGAACTAGCGTTTGAAAAAATTAGGCTGGATAGAACCCGCGCTTTGTTACAGCGGTACGCGGGAAAAAATACCGCGATTTTTTTTTCGGATGACAAAATTTTTTACATCGAAGAAAGTTATAAACAAAATGATAAGGTGTATGCCCACAGCAATAAAGAAGTCAGCACGCGTATTCCGAGGACATAATCCTACGTCACTCGTGGTTTGGCTTCAACGAGGACATAATCCTTGGTCACTCATGGTTTGGCTTCTTGGAGTCTCATATTCAGGCTTAACTGAGGTGTTTTTCTGTGAAAAAGGTGTAAAAACCAGTGCTGAGGTGTACTTAAATACCATTTTAACAAACACAATGAAACCTCTTTCTCAAAAAATGTTCAAAAACAGACATTGGAGAATACTGTTTATTGAGTATAATATACTCTATATCTACTGTCTACTTATATACATATTGTGTATGTATGCATGTCTATTTCTTTGGTATGCTTTGTAGCCGAAACGGCTTGATGGATTCTTACATATGGGGTGTCGTTTGAATCGTCTTATTTATGATTGTGACATGGTGTATAATGTTTTGTCGTTGCAGTAAACTTTTAAGCAGTCAAGTTTTTTTTTATAAATGAAAAGTGTGGCAAACCAACATACAGTCCATCTGATGGTAAGTATATTCTGTGTCCCATAGGCATCTACATTTATCCTTATTTAAGAATCAAAATGCAGATGCAATGTCACCACTAAGGACTGAGATGGAATGCCTCATTTCAAGTAAAAATTGTCTCCGGTTCTCTACACTCACCATACGGCAGCATGAAGCTTCTATTTATTGCTGGTATTCTGTTACAGCATGGTTTTACCCTGGACGAGTCAACCGAATCGTGCTACAACAATAATATAACTGCAGCTTGGCTGTACGATGTAAAAGTTTTTTTTTAATTATGTACTTGAGCCATTTGATTTGCTAACAAAGCAAAATAATGGTTACTATCGAATTTTTAAATAAAAAAAAATTCCATCTCTACTTTTAATGCTTTTAATATGACAGCGCACTTCTTCAAATTTAACAAATTCGCAAGTTAAACCCTTTTTCTTTGCCATCCCAGTAAGATATTAATAACAGTATTGCAGAGAGTTTACGGAGTTTATATTCAGCATTTTTAGAGATTAAATGATATCTGCTAGTCTCATAAGGGTTGTTTGTCTGTCCGCTTGATGTACCTTCTAAAATTTATTTGTAGAAAAGTTTTAGGTATAAATATTTGCACAGTTTGGGTTCATAGCCTTGCGAACCAACATTTGTGAGGTTACTGACATTGGAAGAACTGACTGACTTTATACGTTACGTTATTTTATACTACTGAATAGACTTAATATTATACTTCGACTCTTCATAACCTTAGTAAAACCGCTAGTAATTAATTAAAAAAAAATATCATAAAAATATTTTTCCCCATGGTAGAGTAAGAGAATTCATCATACCATTTAGTCCAGTGGGTACCTTAAGAAACATCTATGGGAAATACTATCACAGAAAAATATTATGACTTTCCATATATGATGGAGTAACTACCAAAAAAAAGTTTACGCCAAACGTAAAATACCCAGACAGGCGATTGGCAGCAGCGTCAAACCTACGATACTTCTGATTACAGCGATTGTGAATCCATCTGCTAACCCTGACTACTAAGGCATACCCTCCCTACAACAGGAGAGCCCAAGTCCAGCAAAGGAACTAACAGAATTTCAGCGTAACTTTACTAAACCGAAGACCCTTTTTACTAGAAATGAGGCATTATATCGTGGTTCTCAGGTATAACCAAACATATTTTGCAATTTAATTGTTAGCTGAGGATAAATGTAGATATCTATGGGCTACTGTATTCATTTATCATTAAGTGGACTGTTTGTTCGTTTGCCACCCTTATTCTATAAAAAAGGACATTCACGAGCCAATGAAGACACGTCTGTGGTCCATACCCAAACTAAGCTAAAGTCAAATAATTTATTTTATATCCAACTATTTGGTAACACTAATGTTACTCTTGCATACTTTCTAGTTATGATATATTCAGTGGTAAATTATCTATCAGAATTTCATTTTGATATAGTGGCCGATCAGCAGAGCTTACTACGTCGACTATAAATAATCCTGCAGTCGCTCTCGCGAAGTTATAAATTATATATACGTTTCAGGCGTTCGTAATATTTTCATAATCCTTAGAAAAAAACATAGTATAATATAATATCAGTCAAAAATAATTTTGTATGGATCAAAGTATTAGATTTTATTTGTGTTTGTTAAATGTTCTTAAATGATAAAAAAGTGAAGGTAGATATTATTTGTTTGAGTTTTCAGATTCTGTAATAAAATGATTCTTAATTAATTTATCCAAAGTGAATGCAGTCTATAGACACCAGCAGCCAACTTCAAACAAGGAATGCAACAGATGCCTTGACACTTCTAAGAACTAACTCAAGACGGCGCATTATTATTATTAATAATAAATAATAATTAAATTCAATATAAAGACATTTAGAAATATCATAGATATAATATTTAGTATAATTTAAATGCATTAATAAGCATATAGTTCAAACATATTCATTTCGAATGTTAAGTATTGTAATAAGTAAAGGCTTAATATTGTCTTTAAAAAGACCTTTAAATTTATTAAATTATAATCTGCTTAAAATATTCAAAATATATTAAATAGTCGAAGAGCAAGTCGATTATATTGCAATAATAAAGATGAGTAACATTTGTAATATAATTGAAAAAAGGGTCAACAATTTAATGAGGGTGTTCTTGTATTACTGAAGTGTGTTTATGTAATGATTGCTTATATGAGGAGTTGCCGAAGTCGCATACATACGGGTGTACATATATATGTGGTGGTCGGGAGACCTATTGCTAATAGTACTGTTGCACAATGGATAGTCCTATTTTAGGGACGCATTAATATAGAAGGTTTCTATGGTGTATAAGCATTATGATAGCAGAGTTATGACTTGAAGTCCCATTTGTAAAAGACATATATCATAGTATGGTCTATGAAATAAAGGAAATATGTGGAATGTCTCAAATATTTATAAGCATTATATTGAAAGAAATGGGACATATATGGGGTGGTTGGGTGACAGACTTATATTAGGGACTTATGATAATAATGTCTATGATACAAAAGTATTAATAGAAGGTCTCTGAGCCGCATAAGCATTATGATAGCAGAGTTATGACTGGAAGTCCCATATGTAAAAGACATATAATAGAAGTTCAATGAGATAAAGAAAATATTTAAAAGTTCTCAAATATGTAAAAGCGTCATATTGATAGAAATTGGACTTGAAAAGGATTATTATAATGGCGTGTAAACTGTTTTACAGCATCCGAAACGAGGTAAACTTGGACTCGCTAACGAATGTGTCCTAGACATATCATCTTAATGCTGGTAGTAAGCAGGTTTGTTGTAGCAATATGAATTGCCCGTAGAAATTGCACACCCCTACCGTTTGTGGGCGGCGTCTTAGCGCATAGTGTTATGATACGTCGTCTATCTTTCGGATTAGGGTGAGTGTGTTTGGTAGGACTTTTAAGTGCAGCAAGCATAATCATCTCCATGTCTAGGATAAGCGGAGTTTGGCTACTGACTTATGTTACTATGATACGTTGGTGGTATTTTTAGTTAAGAACAGTACCGATTTTGTTACCAAATTCGATAGGGATCATGTGGGT